GATGTGCATGGCAAGTCAAATCCAAATACTCGGCTCATTAGCTTATCATCCTCGAACTCCATTTATAAAACCGCACTCAAATATCACATGCACGGCAGCCAGGCCATCGTCTGATGTTCTAAAAATAATTTTTTTTTGGAAAAATGTAAATCATTTCATTTTTCAATGTGAAACATATTGACTTGAAATCCGCACCATTGATGCGTATAAAAAGAACAGACTCTGCTACTAAAAGTCCAGAAACATGACCCAACTGTACAGCATACAAAAACCGCTTGCAGTACCAGGAACATGAGCCAACTATACAGCATGCAAAACCCGCCTGCTGTACCAGAAACATGACCCAACTATACAGCATACAAAAACCACTTGCAGTACCAGGCTTGAAGCACCCAATTCATACGTATTAACAACCAAACAAGGACCCTTATATCAACAGGAGTCCCAACAACCTTAAGATAATGATACATCACAACCTGTTAGAACTACCTGTGAGAACAAAACTCACTGTACCAGCGCCCAGTTCAACACGCAGCCAAGCCTTCCACCTTCCAAAAGCACAAATCCTTGCCTCCCCTGGATGCGATAGGTTGTACCAAGAACCAGGTTAGGCTTCCACCGCCACTTCCACTCCTCGTCCTGTCGTCAACAATAGCCATCATCGTAGAAAACCCTATGACTTAGGAGCCACCTTCCCAATTTTGACTCCTGTCGACCCCTGCTGGTGAATCCCAACAACTCTTCTTCCTGACCTCATTTTCCACCCCTTCAAGCCAATATGAAAAGGTCTTGCCGCCACTCAGTGGATTTTCATCTGATCAGCGGCCTTCTCCACCTTCTCCAGCCCAATCACACTCTTATAACGGTATTGCTCTGTTGAAGTTTTCCCTGATCACCTCTACCTTCCGAATGAACAGCAGGGTTGCTCTCTGGTAAGGTTTTCTATTGAACCAACCCCTTGATATTGCTGGTGGTAAACCGAATGAACATTAGGGTTGCTCTCTGGCAAGGTTTTCTATTGAACCAACCCCTTTGATATTGCTAGTGGTAAAAACATGGTTCGGACGAGGTGCACGAGGTATTAAGAGGTTGGGAAAAAAATACAATACTCGGAACTGCATGGCAATCTAGTATATGTAGAAGAGTTCGTAGAATTATACAGCGGTATATACTGATTGGAGCATCGGAGGCAAGGGTGACATTGAACCTGCTTCCAGTGTCCATTATTTGTAATGGAGACATTGGTCTATAGAGAAATTATTGCTAGGATGAATGTCAGCCTGAGTATCAGTAGTGGTCAAAGTTATTCTAATTTGCATGGTGATTTCTACGCGGGTTGTGAAATCTTCACTCTTATTGTGATAAGGAGAATGAATAGAATCTCTGTGGATGAGCTTAATGACCAACTTCTTGGATAAATATTGCTGGAAGGGTTGAACTGCTTAAACTTATAATTGTAAAAAGAATGAGAGATTGAATTTGTTCCATAGCCACGACTGCTATGTATTCTTTTGTTGCTCGGAATTTGCCATTGGCATCTTCATCTTCTATGTATTTCTAGTTGTTCTTGTTAAAGAGTAGTCAATCATCTCTAACTTGCTTAGGATTTTTCTAAATTGATCTTGTTAAAGTAGTTGGATACAGAAATGTTGTTATTGCTGTGACTTTCTGCGGCTCTGTTTTTGTAAACTGGTGCAGGGTTATGTCAGGGAGGCTCAGTTGTTGTGGTTGTAGCCTGATGATGTCCTTGGGGATAGTTGTTTTGGTTGTACAGACCTGTTTTTTTTTGGCTGTATGGGCATCTTTAAGCCGAAGTTGCTTTCTTGTTAGAGTAGTTAATCATCTAAAAGTTGCTTAGGATTTTCTAAATTATGTAGTTAATCATCCATAAGTTGCCTAGGATTTTTCAAGGAAAGTTTTCAAAATTGTTCAGTATCCAAGATTCCCAGCGTTCGTGATACTTTAAATCATGACCAAATGCTCAACACCAAAACCATGGGAGTGGTATTTAACATTAATAATTCTATCAGATAATGCAGCCTAGTTTCAATATTCCAATTTCCAATGATAATTGATAGCATCATCACGGATGAAAGTGGGGAAACTGAAATGTACAACCATACTAGTTAAACAGAACAAGTCTGAGACAAATATCAACACCAATGCCACATTTGGCTCCAACAACGCATCCTGTAAGAAGCTGTGGTAGTTGGAATTGGCCAGCTTGGTCTCCTATAAGAATTTGATATGGATGATATACGTATTCAGACATTACCTTGATCCTGATCTTGCCTCTCTTTTCTGCGTGTGGAAAGGCTCTTCTTTATGTGTTTTGCTAGCCTCTGGACAATCCAGATAAATAAAGCGCGCTGTATGAGCTATGAAGACAATGCCAATTAGGGCCAACCATGCTAGCATAGCAATCGCCACCACCATTTGTACAGTTTGCTCATTGTCTGGCGTGATAGTTAACATAGCAATGTAGGTGACTGCCATAGGTATTAAAGTCAACCACAAGGTAGCCGTGAGAATCCACACAAATATTCTCTGCTTCAGATGTAATCCACTTGCAAGCCAAAACATTGTGCTTATGGAAGAAATGAAAGAAACCGTGTTGAATATCCAAAAAATGCTGTATAGCTTAGAATCATAAGTACCCAGCACTGACTGACCAGTGTGGAAATAGTCAGAGTCATGGTCCCAAACACCACCAGGAGGGCTGAACTCTGCTTGATAGGCCATAGCAGCAATAACAGAAGCAGCTACCATCAAAGTGTCATATTTCTTGTTCAAACAGTCATCATTCTTCAAGTGCTTCTTTTGTTATTGCCAGCACCAGATGCTGCTATGGCTTCAGAATTTACCGGCACTTTGGGTTTAATTTTTCACTTGCTTCAATGAATTGGGTTATGCCACTTTCTGATGCAAGGATCCCCCTTGATCTCAGTGCTATCGAAGTTAGGAGGGATTCACAAATTTTGATGCCTTTTAGATCTCTTGGCATGTTTGCCATTATATCTAAGGCTGTAAAACCATTTTTGTTTACAGCATTTACACGGTCTGCACAACATAAACAAAAATTCATAATGTTGGCTATAGTTTATTCTAGAAAGTTGACAGAAGTACATTTAGACAGACATTATGAATCTAGTAAAACTAAGATGCTGGGCTTTTGAAAATTAAGGGGACAGATGCTGTTGATCTGTTGGTTTATCCGAGGATTCTCCTTGATCAGAAGGAAGTCTCCTCTGGGTGTGTTTTTGGAAGGAAAGCTGGAAAGGCCCAAACTTAGTAATGTCAAGTGTGGCATTAAGTCATTTGTTTTGGAAGTCTAAGCGAAATCCAATTCATATGATTTCATCATTTCAGGCATGGGAAACAAAAAGCTAAAGAAGAAAACCAGTCCTAATACATACTTGAATTACTTAAATTATCATATGCTCAGTCAATGTGAATTCGGTGAGTTGGAGTCTATTCTTACTGACTCAAATAAGTGGCATTCAGCATTCCACCAAAACCAAGGACACAAAGACGACTTCCTGATATATGGGAGATAAGGTTGCCAACTTAGCTTCACTACAGAATTCAAAAGAAAAACCATCTCTTGAATAAATTCTTTTTGGATCAGGATATTCAGCAAAGGATTAGTGCCAACAATTGAGAACAAAAGTAAAAGAATTAACTCAATCCGCTTCAGAGATGCAGCTAAATGCAAGACACTATTTCCATCACGGTCTTTGATATTTCCTATATCCTTGTCCCTCCCCAGTTCCACCAAGAGCTTTATAGTTTTCAAACGGTTGTGCTTCACAGCCCAGTTCAGAAGGGTCTCTCCCTTGTCCAGTGTATTTTGAGCTGCTTCAGGATTCACATGCACCAATTCTTGTATGACATCAACCCGGCCTTTCATTACAGCTAGATGAAGAGGGGTTCTACCATCTTCCTCTCGAGCAAGACACATATCAGGATGCACTGATAATAGCAACTTAACCATTTCAGTGTAGCCATTGGCAGAGGCCAGGTGAAGAGGTGAAAAGCCTTGTGAATCCAACTCTGAGGCAAGTTATGGTCTACTATTCAACACTGCCTCGGCAAAATGGAGGTGACCTAGCATGGCAGCGATGTGTGAAGGAGTTTCATTGAAGCTTGTGGTTGAGAAACGGGCTAGAGTGAGTTTATCTTCTTCCATTAATTGGTTTAAGGAGCTAACACTCCCGCTTAGGGATGTTTCATAGAGCCTTTTCTCTCTTAGAATAATTCTTTCACGACCATCCATGGATGATGTTCAGTCCTTGCACTTTGCCAATGCCTAGCTTCATAATCCATTATATCCACAGAAACCAACAACCTCACTTTCAATCACAAATGCAGACCCTTTTACTTTCTTCTACCCACTCACACACTTTCTCTACGCACTTACTTAAAGATGAAAAGGTTGAAGGGCACTATTCCTTATGCTATCAAAGATAATTTTGACAGTTGCTCAGCTTATTTAGCCTATCCAGAGGAGTTTCATTATTTAATGAAGTTCGTGGTTGAGACTCAGGCTAGAGTGAGCTTATCTTCTTCCATTTTCCAGGAGTTACACTTAACACTCCTGCTCAGAGATGCTTCAAATAAAGTATTTTCGCTCATAATTCTTTCACGACCATCAATGGATACTTTCCTTTATGCTTAGCTACATCCGTTATATCCACCAAAACTACCTTATGCTTTTAAAAAATTTATTCTTTGCTTTTTACCAGTGGTTTTGCATAAATTCCAACAGTTTAACAATGCTGCAATTTCCTTTCTGCTGATAACTCTCAATATGTTATTTGATATAACAATTATTTGCATGCAGGTGGTATATGCCAAGGCCTAACAATGATATATAACAAGCAATCAAGCAGAAGGGTTCTTAGTTGATTTGGTTATGCTATTTACATTGTAACTCCATAAGGGTATCCCAGGATTGAAGAGAAAATATTGAAAATAAAGATAAATGCTGAAGCAAGGAGTAGAAAATATACAGTTTAATATCCATGTCATTCCAATTTGGTATGCTTTACAGTAGAAATATAGTATTGTAAAAGTAAGAAATTACCACAGTGGTATATGCAGGACAAAACTTGTTCTCAGCAAAGCTTGCTGAAAAAAAATGATCCAACTTTAACATTTACAAATCTATCACACCAATCTGAAACTAGGTACGACAGGCTTGGAACAATAACTTGAGTGTAGGCTACCAGCATGAAACTTGCAAAATTTTCATTACTTCCATCTCACACATCTTCCTGGTCATTGTCAACTTGAGCTGAAGGTTTCTGCTCCTTTTCCTTAATAAATCCGTACTTTCTAAGAACCCATAAGTTCATACGAATGACATTCCCAATGAAAACAACTCCCATAAGACACAACCACGCTAAGACTGATATCTCTGTTACGTCACGCAGCATACCTGCTGCGCTATCTGGTGACATATGTCTTAGAGAGATGAAGTACGTTATCACTTGGGCTGTGATGGCAACCCACATGATAATCATTTGAATCCACATCCATCTTCGTCTCTTCATCGGTAGCCCACTAACAAGCAAGAGTATTATGCTTAGAGACGCAAGGAAAGCAAGTGTGTTGAAAATCATAAATTGACCATACTCAATATCTTGGCTGTATGCCATAACAGCAGTTCCGGCTTTGCGAGGATGCTCCAGAGGGTTTCCGTTCCCATCTACATTTTCATCTGCTTGCCAAACACCTCCTGGTGGGGTTATTGCAGCTTGGAATGCCACAGTCGCAATCAATGATGCCACCACCATCAATGCACTTCGCTTCCTACCAAGCCAATCAGTGTGCTTATGCTTTTGTATTGGCATCCTTGAATTGCTTTCTTCTGCTGATACACGTGAGACAAGAGACATTGTTGTCTGGGGAACTTTTGTTGGATTTAGAACCCACTCAGGTGCAATTATTTGTAGATCCTTTGCACTTAAAACTCCAGCATCTCCAAGAATGCATTCAATCTCCATGTCTCTCAAATCTCTGGGGCTCTGTGTCAAAGTATCTAACACTGTGAAGCCATTCTTATTTATTGCATTTATATCCAGCCCAGGAACAGTAAGCAAAAACTTTGTGATCTGCAAAATTTATGAAATAGCAATATTATGAAATGAAATGCAACCGAGCTAACCTTTCGGATATTCATAAGCACATTATAGAATTAGATCTCCCAAAGCCAGCACCTCTAAAATACATCTGCATTAAATTATACACCTAAATGATATGAATTCTTTTGACAGTGCAAAGTACTTAATCTAGTTTGAATCAGAGAACAACCAACCAATTATGCTATGAACTCAAATGTACTTGAAAATGTTTGTGACAAACATAATTGTACCTTAGTCTGTCTTCATATTCTTAATTTCCATTACCAAATAAATATAACCCCTCCAACCAGAAGTAAGGAGTTGATAGTAAATGCAAAAAATTTAATCAGATCCAAATCTACACAAAAGGTTCAAATGAACACACATTGTAGAAGCATACCTCAATCTGCTTCTTGGCCACAGCAATATGCAACACAGTGTTTCCATCACAATCCTTCTGATTCACCAATACATCATCATCTTTTCCAATCTCTTCAACCAAACTCTTCAACCCCAACAACCTATTACTTCCCACACACAAATGCAACGCAGTTTCATCACGTTCAGTCACCACCTGAGCAGACTCAGGCCTACCTCGGACTAATTCCCTCACCACCTTAACCCTCCCCTTGATAGCTGCCAGGTGGAGTGGCGTCTTACCATCTTGATTCCTTACCATGCACATCTCTGGATCCACTCTGACCAACTCTTTGACTATCTCGAGGTGCCCTTTTGCTGCAGCCAGGTGAAGAGCAGAGCAGCCATGGGAATCCAACTCGGAAGCCAACTCCGGGTTTAGATTGAGAAGCTCTTGAACAAAATTGACATGGCCTAGCATGGAGGAAACATGGAGAGGGGTCTCGGAGACACAAGAAACTATAGAACGGTGAAGAATGAGAGGATCTTCTTGAAGTAAATCTTGGAGGGATTGGATGTCTCCTTCCATAGCTGCATCTGATAGCCTTTTTTCCATCTTTAATTTTCCTCTTTCTGCTCTAGCTTCTGCGTTTGTTCCTTTTAGAAATATCTTTTTCTTTTTTGTTTATAAAAGTCACTTCTGAAAGAAAGCCGCCAGGAAGAAGAGTGGGAACAGACCAAGGGGAGGGTTGTGGCTGTGGCTAACATCGAGGATGCTTGGGTCAGACGTTTGTGCTTTTGGAATTTTTGCTGTGGGACCCTCGGAAGCTTCTGTTTCTGTGCGGCGTTGACGTTGGTTTAACAAACACAGTTATACTTGTATAATACCAAAGTGTATTACTCTATTGACGTTTTGGAATTTTTCCATGTTTTAAACTTTTTCTTTTTTTTTTCCTCATCTGAAGGTTCACACTTAAACTAATAAAAAAGCAAGTCAAGAATTGTGATCCTTCATTATTAATTAATAATTCTTCAGTTTTAGGAATTGGAATATAGAGGTCGGAATACCAGGTTCCTGCCCACTCCTATTAGGATATGGACTGCCCTTGGTGTCCATATTAAATTGGAAAGCTGATGCATTCCATTTCCATTTCAAATTTCATATGATCCTTACCTGCTGAAACTAGCCAGCCTTATTAGCACGCTTGGACTAACAAGGAAAGGCTGAGCTGATCTGATTGGGCGGCTGAATTATAGTCTGGTAAAGGAGCCAGGGACATTGCCCACATTGGCATCAGGAAGTTGGGAACTAATCTCAGGTCTCAAATAATCAGATATAAGAATCAGTAAATAAATAAAATTCCCTAAGATAATATTATGTAAAACTATTTTCTTTGCCTGCCAGGATATTGAGTATCGTCAATTTATGATTTTCTACTGAAAATTAGGAATATGGAGAGTGCCTTGTCTCTATGGGGTTACTTCTTTATCCACTCACAGTATTATGGAATGGATTAGTAAATGATTTTGTATTAGTATTTTCAACTGTAACAAGTGGGTCAAAATTGTTTCATCAACCGTATAAAATAAAAGGAGTGACTTGATCACCTTAGAAGAAGTGGTCTTTAAAATTCAATTTAATAAAGGTAAGATTGGACTGATGTTCGATAAAGATGGAAATAAAAAGGAAGGGTACTGCTTGATGCCATGATAATTGAATGAAAAAAGATTAAAACAAACAAAAAATTTTGTTTTGGTTTACTTTGAAAAATAAGGAAACAACGAGTTAAAAAAAAATAAAGAAATTTTGAAGAGATTAAGAAGAACAAGAAGTCGAGTGATGATTTTAACTTTGATATCATGAAAAATTTAAAATATAAAAGATGTTTTGTTTTTTGTTTTTTAAATTAGATAAGTATGTATAATTATATTATATAAAATATGTGCATGTGTACATACACATGTACAGTACATAGGACTAGGTTATTCCTAATTTCCATCATCATCAGTGGCCTTGTTCCTGTGTGATTGAGTTGAGGCGCAACAGGAACAAGGCCACTGCAAGGAAACAAGGAATTGAATTTCTAATGGAAAAGTAAGGGAGAGAGGTATGTGAAGAATTTAAGAATGAGAAACTGGTGAGTTTGAGAAGGGAAATAACAAGTCATGATTATTATTATTATTATTATTTTTGAATTTGATTGAAGAAAATTTAAATTTTATTTTTTAAATAAAAAATTATATATTAATCAATGAATTTAAATGCGAAATATGACTGTTTATAACAGTAAGTGAAGTAAGATTAAATTTCTAAGTGGGAAAGAAAGGGCCGCTTCCACGGTCAAGTCCTTCCTGAAATTAAGTGAGCCACATGTATGTGGTCACAAAGCAATTTCGGGTACTAGTTTGTAGTGGGATCGAAAAGGTCATAAAGGGCGCGGAAAGGTCAAAAGGAAAAGAATTGTTTTCCTCGACGATGTATAAGTAGATGTGAAAACTAATGGGGGAACAAAAAAAAAAAGAAGAGAAAACATACACCTCTCATGTCCTTCTATCTTTTCCCTTCTTATTTTTCTCTGACATAAGGTGACTTTCAGTGTTTCCAATAATTTTCTGTGCGATATAAGGTTGGAGAGACATGAAAGAAAACTTTATCAGTAATCTGTAACATTGACGATTAACTTTGTCGCAAATGCTACTCACATGTCAACGACAGCTTGAACTTCAGCCGTCACGATGTATGATATCATATTCCTGAGACACACCAACAAACCTCCCATCCCCGTTTGGGCCATGGCCACCAAATACTAACCACAGATGAAGCACTTCAGTTCGTACTTCACAGTCATACCAACCATTAACCAACACTATCGAAAAGTTACTGCTGACTGAGACTCCAGGAATATTGATAGGCAGGACTCAGTTTAGTTGACCCTATTGTGTCAAGATTCAGTTCTCTTCCAATCTCAATGATGGTGGGGTAAGATTTTAGGTTCAAAATTTGCCAAAGACGCCCCAAAAGAACAGTGGAAGAGGTATGTAACTACAGTTGGACTTCAATCAAACGTCTGCAACCCGTCCCTCCGCAAATAAAGCAAAAAGAAACAATACGCATTCTATGCAGTATGTAGCCAACAGAACAGGGACAAAGATTTCCTACACTGGAAATATTATATATCCCAATTCTGGAATCAAATAGAATAAAAGTTCAGCACCTGAAAACTCTATCAATCCTAATATATCCACCTGAAAGTCCCCTAGAAAAGTACTTGATACATAAGCAGGCCAACTTGGCCCAGCACAGAAAATCTGACCACCTAAACAGTTGGCTGCCAAGAGCATGGGAGAATTACATGAGGTGAAAACTCAGCATCTCCTTAATGTCAAGGTCGTGCTCTCTTGTTGCTGCAAGAGGGGCACTTGTACTGCTTGATGTGCTCAGCCCTGGCAGGGGTGATCTTTACACATTTGCCATGAAACCACTTTTCACATATGTCACAACAAATCCAGAACTCATCTGAAGCATAGTTCTCTCCACATGCACCACACAAGGTTTCCCCATGCTCCTCTTCATCTTCCTCATCCATTCCCTCCTCCTCATCCTTGGCTTGCAGGCTCTTTGAATATTTAGCAGATTCAGAGCCTCTCTGAATTTAAATTCATTGCCAAATTAAAACAGAGGAAATTAGCATGTATATCATTGCACACAAACGGAAACAAATATAAACAACACTGAAACAATTAAAAGTATCACACATGCAATTGATACTAAATTGATAGTGCTACCTTGGCTTAGCTCTAGACCCATATACCCAATTGAAACAGTAAGTTACTTTTCTTGATCAAAACAGTATTACCACCACAAAAAGGAAATCTGAAACAAGGCTAATATAAAAAAATCATAGATGGTCATGAGAATCCAAGTTGAGGAATTCTAAATTGATGCAACAAAGAAAGATGATGACACCTCATGTAGATAGATCCCCAAAAAATCATGGTACAGAACAAAAAGATATGCACCCCAAAACAGCCTTAACATGCTGAATATGTGTCAACATTACCAAGGGACAATTGACAGAAGATTACAGGCCATAATTACCTTTAAAATTACATAATTTGGTTTATGAGAATGTTCAGCTGAGTTTGGCACAAAAAAGGAAAGGGAAAAAGGCAGGTTCAGCAAATTATAAATCAAGGGATAGAACAACTAAGTTCTAGATATCCCAATAACATAAATTCAGACTTTATAGCATACCCACCTCACTTCTGGACGTTGACACTACTATTAACCAATATCCATACTTTACTCCAGCTACCAGGAAAATTTTAAGCATTAATGTCCCGCTTACTGGTTTTGAGCTTGACTTGGATTTGTTGCTGCTGTGATTTGAAACTGATGACTTCTCCTTTCCCTGTTTCTTGGCACCTCCGGTGACAATTTCAAATATTGTTGGGAGATCATTTATCATAGTGAAGAGACGTTTCCTGCATCAAAGTTTGCATATGTTTGCAAATAAGTCCTTCAATCAACCACCATTACAAACACAAGAATATCCAGCAAACTGATATACACTACAAAAATGAAGAAATTATTCCTTAAAATGAAAAATTCCATTCAATCTTTTTCTTCTAATTTGTTTATATTAATAATATTTTAAGTAGAAATATTCCACTCAATTTCTAAATATCTGTCCCCAAGCTACATGTCCAGCATTAACTCAGATGTCCTTGACTAAACCTGTAGCACCCAGGGTCAAAGATGTGAACAACATGCTTACATGCACTTATAGCCAGTAAAAGGTTTAAATACTTGTTCCACATGACATGTTACACAAGAAGAAACCTGAGAAAGACATAATGGCTACATGAAAATTTTTTTCATGTACCCATTTCCTAATAATATTACTTTTTCTACCACCAAAGCTTATAGTTAGAGCAAAGTTTATCATGCATGCAGTCCACCATACATCAATATTGCCTCCCATCTGTATTCAAAAGGGAAAGAAAAATGCAACATAATGCAGCAGGTGAGGGAAAAAAATTATACCTGTCAGCTTTATCAAAACCAAACCTAGCACCAAAATAGAAAGCCACCGCTAATAACCATGCATCACTGTGAACAGCAACAAGTGACAACCAGTCCTTTTCTTGCATCCCATCTCTAGCAAAGTTAATACCTAATGCAGGCTCTGGGAGCTCAGGAGGCACTTCCTCAGCAGGCAAATTAACTTCCCAATGTTCATCAGGGAATCCATACAAGCAAAGATTCTCCTTCTCTGAAATAAATGTTGATCAATTAAAATTCAAGGAGACATAATAGGTTTGGCAAATTACTTATGACATAATACCTAAACAAGAAACAAGCCTTCAAGAATAGGCAACAACTTATTAGTAATTTACATATATTACATAATTAGTATAGGTTGTGGTACCTAGAGAAGCAAATAAGGATATTTAGGCTACGTATAACTATCAAGGCACCTTAAAGACAAGACTCCAGATAACCAAACTAATGGAATATCATACTAAACATGCTTTGGAGATTAAGAAGGTTATAGTACAAATCCTTGTTTCAATCAAAACTGAAAAAAAATTGAGGAAAATGCAAAATAAGCAACAAGGTTAAACACAAATTTACTCAAACACCTCAAGAGTTTGGCAACAAGTTCAAAATACGCATTTAAACTTAATACATACAAAAAATTATCCAGAGACTAGCTCAGTCAACTTGTATCTCACATTTTTAACAAGTTATCTACTTATTTCATTGTCGACTACCCAAAGTACCTCTCTAAATGAACTAAAGATACAGCATTGCTTTGTCAAAAGGCAAGCAACAGAAAACTTCAAATTCTAGAATACAGTAATCATATGGGAAAGGAAAGAAGTCAATTTGAGCAACTTCTGAATTACTACGTCCAAGAATCATAACGTAACAACTCAAGATTTGAATGTGCGATATTTCTCAGAATACAAGCAAAATTGCGAGAGAGAGAGAGACAGAAGCCCTGACCAGGATCGCACTGCTCATAAAATTCTCCAACATCTGCGACAACAAAAGAAAAACAAAGAAGCCAAAATTGAAAATTAGAATGCGGAGCAAAACCATGTAAAAAGTAACCCTAAGAAACTCAAAGGCACTACTCTTTTCGTAGTATGAATAAATTTGAGGGGAAAAAAGAGAGGAGAGAAGAGAAAAGAGAGACCAGTAGTTAAGGCTTTGATCATGCCGGCCCGACGGCCTTTAAAATCCCTAAAGACCTCCTCTACTGTTCTCAGGTTGTACTGAGTTCCTCCGTCCATTTCCGTACACTTCACTGCACTGAGAAAAGAGATAGCAGGTGTGGGGAGGAAAAGGAAAGAAGAACCAAGAAACAGAGAGAAAAAGGACAAGGATAAAATCGGAAATCTACAGTGCGCTTGACTTGGTATATCCAACAAGAAACATTTCAGCACCAGAAGAAGAGACACAGAAAAAGAACTACGATCAGTATATCTGTTTCAATTAATAATAATTGTTATTCCCCAAAACGGAGGTTTTCCCTAATTTTTTTTTCACTTTGCGATTGGGATTAGGGGGTGATGCCTAGGTCTGACATGGATGATAGGACCGTACAAGCCACGGGGCGTAAAGTAGATGGTTGAAAGCTCGCCACGTAGCGCGAGCTACTGTTGCTGCGGGGGGTATAATGCGGATTTGAAACCGATTTCGGAGCTGGAATTTTGAGTAAGGTTAGGGTTCCGAGATGGTGAAGAAGGATAGGCTAGTGTGAGCCCCGGGTGGTTGTTTTCTCCTGGAATGTAGATACAAAGATTGTCCAGTTCCAATGTCCACCGTTTTCATTTCATTTCTTGGGTTTATCGAAAAAAATATGAGATGATTAGATAAGATTTACATTCAGATGTGACGAGAAAGGGGGATTTGCAAATTGCAACTAATCACATGGCAGGACGATGATGATCCGTCGCCGTACACGTGTCCCACAATTTGTCTTTAATCTTGATCCCTTCCTCTGCAGCCTCAAGGTAAAATCAGCGCTCCATGCCACTGGAAAGATTCAATGTTAAGCCTGAATCGAACCAGCGTTTTTAAGCCTGAGCACCCTCAGCTCCGGTTTAGCCTCTTGCTGCGTCCATTTTATTGATGGGAGGAGAATGATGCCCTTACCACTAACCAAAGACGTTAATTTTATGCGGCCCACGTCTAGAAAAGCTTTCTTTCGCTGTCAAAAGGTCCCGTCGGGGTGGACCTCGTTTGAACTTTAAGCTTAAAGTAATCATCCTTGTTGAGTGCGATCTTCATCAAAGGTCATGATCGGAGGTTCAGTTGACAAATTGGGGTTTGGCGTGAGAAAACAATTGACATTGTTTGCTGCTTCAGTTATATCTCAATTCCAATATCTAGGCCTAGCTCTTGTAGTTTCTTCCAAATGAATTGAATCTTCATCTCAACTCATACGACTTAATTTTGTACATCTTATAAAAGTCGAAGAAGAGGTTTCTGGTTTCGACCACATTCCATACAAAGACTTACCAACCGTCCAAAACTACCATTAAGACAATAGAAGAGTTGCAAAAAAAAAACCTAAATTGTCAAACAATTGCTGAAACATCTACTCTCCCATGGGAAAATAGAGATACATATTGTTCAGGAAATCAGCAGCAACCATACATGTGCATTTCCTTTTTCAAGAGACTTCTTATTTCATACAATGAGAACCAGTCAGAATTAATATGGTATTTTGTGTGTTTGTCAAAGTCATACGGTATACTGAAGGGGCATCCAGCTTCCTTTTCTTTATCATTTTGATCAGCTTATGTTTGTATGCCAGCAAAAAACTCTTGGAGAGAAAGATCAAGGGGAGCAGGCAGCAGGTTATAAAGAGCTTCTAACAGCTGCAGCTTCAAAAGAAAAGGCACAAAGTTTGAGATCCAGGGTGTGAGCCAAACAATAAATTCTCAAAAGCTTACATGCCAGCCAGTCACCTCCTCTCGAAATCTGAAAACAGCATAGGGCATCCATCAATAAGAGGAAAAAAAAAGGGCCCGGGGAAGGGGGCAACAAATTGGAAAGTGGTGAGAGTAATTGCATAATATTGGCAGTTGGGACTACTATGAAAGCAAGACGACAGGAAAACTGAGAGAGAACAGAAAGCACGAAGCCCAGTTTCATGGGTGTGTTATTCCCTACCACCATAATGGCGATACTTATTACCTTTTCGAATCCACTTTCATGACTGTCCACCAGATGGACTTTGGAATAGGCTTGACGAAGATTTGGCAGGATTATCCAGCCTAGGTTGGTTTGTTTCTTAGTTGGGCTTCGCCCACCACATGCACCAAAAATAAAGGCATTTTAAGGTTTGGTGCAAAAATATTCCAGTTTAATACTCCAGTTAAATATAATATTAAACAATGTAGCCCTACTGTCATGACATTAGAAGCTTCCAACAATAGATTGTCAACAAGATGCAGATACCAGGTTGCATACAAGGTGCTTCTAGGGTTGGGGAAAGAGCTGGGATTTGGGGGAAAAAAATTGAATGCCAACCATTAATTTCAACCAAAGCAGGCAAATTTATAACATGAGATAGACAAAAATCCAGAGGCCAAAAACTAATCCTATCAAATATCATCTGGTGACAATTTCATCGGGAAAAGGTGAATTACCATAGCCATTTGGGGATTCATTTTGCTTTTTCTCTGGCACATGTTGTTCAAAGAACTGCCGAATTGTTCTCCAGTAGTGGTCACCACCAGCTAGCCAAGTGTCCATGTGCATGCCAGTAGGGAATTCTACAAAGAGGCATTGCCTGTTATGAGCTGCTGCTTTAGCATACAGCATTTGCATGTGGGATGAGGGAACCATCTCATCTTGCAAACCAGAAAGAAAAAGGATAGGCTGCTTGACCTGCAGATGTTAAGCTCAAAATTACAATGGATGTATGAACTAGTGAAGTGACAGAGGCTTAGAGTGCACACACAAACACATATATAAGCAATGACAAAGGAAAGAAGGCAGAAAAAGCATCATCACCATGTATTCCTGGTTAAAGAAATAGCAAAACCAAATGTAGAAATTAAAAAATGTTATTTTGCTAGAATGGAACATGTGTAGATTTCAATTTGGTAAATATTAAAATGTAAATAGGTTCAAATTGTATCTACAAACCATCTTGTAGCTACAAGAATTTGCTCTTAAGCATCCAATCTAAAATCAATTGGCAATGGAAAAAGAGGCCCAACCCAAAGTGCAAAAATTGGGTAACAAACAACTTTATCTCAATTCCATGTCAAAAACCCACTTACCTGAAAAAGCTTAGGGCCCAAGAATTGATTGTAATCAGAACTATAAATGTCTAAACAATTGCCTACCAAACAAAGAAACTCGTTTCCCTTCACAATTCACATAAAAAATTCTCATTGAGGGTGCATGCTCATATCAAAAACTACTTTACATACCAAGGACCATGAGACATTGACAGCTAACAGATATTAAGGGATGTTTCATTCATCGATCTACATGTCAACAACGTAGTCTAAGAGAGTCAGGAGGTTAAGTTAAAGTTACATGTAACTACCTGGCCAATGATATCAATGGTGCTCCATGGAGAGCGGACAAGAAAATTAAGAATTTTAGGACCTTTTGTACCAGGGCCTCCAATAAACCACTTCAGGAAAGGCAATAATACTCCAGCCATGTCCAAAATAGATGTGAAAGTGTTTTCCAGTATCAGTGCAGCAACCTGCAATTTTAAAGGCAAGCCAAGAAATGATATGCCGAATATGACCTCAAAATGATAAAAGGATTATTTAGTGCAAAAATATTGAAACTATTGTCAGTGTGTCTAGCCAGAAACATATATAATGATTCCAAAAATCCCTCTATCATCGGTCAGAAGATCATATCAACTATAAGAGAATGAACAGAACAGAATAGAGCAACCTGATCAAAGCAACAATGGAACAAACTCATGCAATCTAGAGTAATAGTAACCAACTTGTGATGATAACTGCGCAAACAAAAGCAAATTAAAAACCAACTAAGTTGAACAATGATGACACCTTGAAGTGGACTAAAAATCTCTGTAACCACATCTACATTGCCCAAAAATATGAAAAATCCCGTTCAACATGTATGCTCCATTGAGAAAATTTATGCGCTCTGGTCAAGCTACATTAGGTTGTCAACACTATACTAATTCTCAAATCCCAGCTATGTGGGTTGCGAATATTACCAGAATTTATTTCATTAGCACATTTCCAGTTTTCCCATTATCCTTTCAGCTTTAAACTAGATCATATTTCTCTGCCTCATGAAGGTAGAGACAAATCTTTGGCGCAAGACACAATTAATCCAACAAACCCGATCTAACCTCACATTTTACAAGTATAATGTGCTAAATATAGTTAAAATCTTGACATGCTATTGATGTAATCATGTCATGTCATGTCATGTTAAAGCAGACATCACAAGAGTTTAGCCAGGCAACAATCCAACGAGTATAACATGTTCAACCAGTATGCTGCTCTGGTATCCAGCATGAGTGTGAGCCACAAGACTGTCATATACTGGTTTCTGATTCTAAATCTGTCTAGTCTCAAGAGAAAGAAATGTAATCAAAATAATCACTAAAAAGGGATACCTTATCAGGATTGTTTTTGGTGAGTACAGCTCCAACAGCACCCCCAAGTGATCTTCCAAAGACTATTATTCTATCTGTGTCAATATCAGTCCGCTGAGAGAGATGATCCAATGCAGCCTAAACGGGAAAAAAACAGGAAAAGAGAGTAATGGTTAAGACACTATTTTGTTAAAGAAGTAGCTTTTTAAATCTAGAATACAACAACTGACAAAACAAAAACCTGAGCATCATTTATAATTCCATGCTGAGAAGGATAACCATCACTTGCTCCATAACTGCTTTTATCAATCACATGTTAAGTTCATAGATTAGTTTAGCGGTATACTAATAGTAAAAAATATTATGATGGCCATAACATAGGAAAGTTTAAACAGAGAAGCAGCACATTAGATATTCAGGACACCCACCCTCGATATGAAAGCATGAAGACATTGCATTGCAACCTCTGTAACATTATGCGAACCATTTCCAGACGATGAGCAATATCTACAGATCAGTGGTCAAGACTGCCCAAGATCCATGGATTTCACAAAAAGAAAATGTTTTGCCAACTGAATTCACTAAACTGTGAAAGAGTAAGAATTATAATACAAAAATACTAATGATGATGAAGGATACTTCCAGCATTCTCTTGGAAAAACAGGATGGTTGGACCTGCAAAACCAGTGGCACTACTTTTTAAGCAGAGAAAGAGTATTACAATCTTAATCACAAAATACCAATGTACATGTGTGACAATATTACAAGCCCACATCTTAGCTTATGGATATGCCAAGTGTGCACATGAATGTCTAGTGTATGCTATCATTTTCATTTTCAATTTTCCAGCCAACTATTTACTTGTTTTTCTCCGACACTTTCAAGGCCTTACAATAACCAGCCAAGTTCCTAACCCAAAACGAATTAAAACAGACAGGATGAGCACTTTAAGAGAAACACAACAGTTATGCATGCATATATCAATCTTATCAAATTGAACAAAACGCATGTTATCAATCATAAACAAAACCCACTAACTGATAGCTATCAAATAAATCACATCTTTCCCATAATTTTTCAGCTACTTTTAGATCACAGTAGCCACCACCATACATTGAATCTCAGCAATTAGTTCAGCTCTCATTTAGCTCAAATACACCCTTAGCATTTACATTTGTTTCCATAATCTTATATTCAAAGTTCAAACAAAGCAAAAAAAATAAATAAATAAAAACAAATTATACATTCTAATTTTCAATTGAAGATAACATTCCAAAAAAAAAACAAAAAATGCAACAAAATTCTTCCAAAACCGAAATCAACCTAAAAATAGCATTCAACCAAAAACAGTCGTAACCCAGCAAAAAAATCACTAGCTCAAAAAATTCAAACCGAAAACCAAACCCTAATTCACTCCCAAAAAAAAAAAGCACAAGCGCAATTCCTATAATTCATTCAACAGTATAACAAAAACCAAATAAAACGCTAAAAAAAAGTGGATCAGGAGTGAAAATGACCTCGACAGTCAGGCAAGAGCTTGATGAACCAAGCATGGAGTCGGACTCCATCGGAGGATCGGAGCCAAACGTCCTCGTAGATGAGTCGGAGCCGGGCCGGTGTTATCGGGTAAGACTTGGTTAGACCCGGTAAAACCGGAACGTAAACGAGCTTCTCTTGAAACGCCACCAGCAACGCCATCCCCGCCACCACTATCCCTCCCACTCCGTACAGCAACAAGCTCATGTACGACACCATTTTCTTCTTCTTCTTCCTCTTTTCTCGTTGTCGTACTCGTCGCTTTTTTTTTTTTGCTTAAGCCCTTTCTTTGTTTTTGGGTTTCTGCTTCTCGGGAGACTGTTTTTTATGTGGAGTTTCCTGGTTGGTTGGTTTAATTTTCTTTCATTTATTGAATTTCCAGATAATTTTGTTTGCTTTGGAGGGGTGAGTGGGTCCCCCTCAGCAAGGACCTTAGTCACTTGGGTTTAGGTTAGTTACCTTACAGACTTTTATACATTTCCATTTAATTTTTTCATCTATAAAATTAGTTGGGCTGATTTAATTAATTTTTCCATTTATGATACTTAATTGGCCTCTGGTTTGATTCTTTTATTTTACGCTATGTTTTTCAAAGGAAAAATGAATAATTTTGTATAGTAATAACATTTATAAACTAATACCCTTGAAATCATGAAAATTTATTAACTAATCAAAATATTATTTAATTAATAAATTATTTATTAATTTATATATTAATTAATAAAAAATTAATTTATCAAGATATATTTTTTTTCAAAACATGAAACTTAATATATGTATTGTATATTATAATTATACGAATATTATCTAATCATTGAAATATAATATATTATTATTCTATGTATTTATGTAATCAAAACAAATTCATGAATGTAATTAATTTTATTAAATAAAAATCATGAATCTATTATTTTTACAGTATTCTAAAACTATTTCCAAACCCTCTCGTAGCTTGAGTCCAACCCTGGCCTTTGAGAATTTATGAAAAGGCTCCCCTAGGGGCAAAACCTTATGAAAAAAATATATATATTAGAGTCAAGATCTTCTAATTTAGTTATGTATATATATAATTTTGATATATAAAAAAATTATTAACTTATATATCAAGTGAGATTTATATATATTTTTTAAATATATTATTTTATAAATTTAATAAATTATTAATTTATCACATTGATATCAAGTCGAGGACGATCAAAAATATTATTTAATTAAAATTATTAATTTATCAAATATTAATTTATAAAAATTATACTTACATAAAACTCAATTGAATGATTCAATATTTGAGTATTCTATAATAAAAATAAAAAGCTGCAAAGGAAGAAAGCATTGACCTTATGATGTATTTTCACAGTTGGTCCAATTTTCTTCTTTCCTACAAAATAATTCACTATATGATGTTCAACATATTTTCATCTTTCATCACCCAAGCATAGCGCAAAGTTGAGACACAGTCAAATCTTTATTCCACAAATAAAATAAAGGAATCAATCATGAGCTAAGCAGACAACAATAGTTTAGTAAATTATGCCAATATTTGTATAAGTTGATGGAATATCATACTAAAATTTGTCTTCTTTTATTTTTGTAACTAAAGAAGTATCATGCACTTTAGCATATGTTTAGGGTATAAATTATCCTTGTCAGCTCCCAATTAGATCTCTTTGGAATAATTACACAAGTCTCTACCCAACTTTTGGGTAGAGAATAATCTCATAGAAAAGCCATGTTCTTAATCTTTCTTTATTTTGTAAGCACCCTGTTCTTAATTCTTCTTTATTAGGTACGTTTTCTATTGCAATGCAATTGCAAGGTAAGATTCCCTAATACATTTTTTAAGTTTTTCCTTTTTGCTAACTTCAATTCTTACATCCATGGAACAGGATTTGAGTTGGAACTCTCTAACAGGAAGGTGCTGTCCCTGCCCTAGGGTCCAAGATGCAAGGTAGGACATTGTTTGTTTACTTGGGGAAAGCTGACATGCATAGATAGACATTGCTGATGGGTGATGGATCAACTACAGCACAAACGGTGGTGCTTCACAGTTGACACAATCATGTTAGGGCTCATCTGAAAACGGATGGAATTCACTCGTTTGCTTACAAATGATCTGAAATTATGCAAAGATTTTACATTGTTAATATAAAAACAATCATTAAAGGTAAAAACCAAGTCAAGGATCATCGAAATAAAATTCCAAGCCAAACTCTTTTCAACAAAGCTGTCATTCCTAGAATGTCAAAGCAGAAGGCAGAACCTTACAAAAGATCTTAGGACAGTGTACAGTCTCTCTCAGACACTTTTCACAATATGCATGAAAGATAATTAGATAAAGCCAAGGATGAGTTGCCGTCTTCGCTGCTCCTTCTCACCGGACAACCGAAGCACAGTGTTGTATTCCATTGCACATACTAACACTATTTTGCATGTGGCTGCCCACATGAGGAGAGATGTCTGAGAATCTGTGTTCTGGCTGCTGGAAATTGCATTCACTGTTGGAGACACTCGTGATGTCAGAGCAGCTTGTACTAGAACCAACATATTCTGCTGTGTGTGAGCAACGGCTCTCAAATTCTGATCTAGTATTCTTTTGGTCTAAGCAGCTGGTATCAGAGATGCAATGGGAACTTGTGTTGAACGTTGGATCAGACTGTTGGAGCTTCTTGGTGCTAAGAAATCGTCCACCAGATCCCCTAACCCTATTCAGTGCATGAAGATGCCGAGATTCATGAAGGTATGGCTGCATTTAATTCAAACCAAGGCATATGAGTGGATTTAAGCTGTTACTATCAACCATGAAAAAACACAGCAAAATTATTGATGCAGTACGCCCATTATTAATTCAAAATTGATACATAACGGATGCTTTTCTCAATGCTATACCAATGTCCTTTGGTTACAAACATTGCAATAAGTCGGTCAATATTTTCCAGAATATATACTCCATGGCACCAAATGTAGCACAGGGAGTACAAACAAATGCCCAAATGAATTCTACATACCTTTCGAGCTTTGACAAGTTTGTTTTGTGCCTCAAGCTTCGCGCGGTATTGCCTCCTCCTAAGAATCCCATGATATTGTTTAGCATTGACATAAATGGGCCCATCTTCGTCAAGATCAAGAGGCAGAGGAATTCGTGTTGGTGCACCTCCTGCCATCTGGGGCTGAATCTGGTCAAGGTAGAATCATAGTTAAACATATAAACAACATTGTTCACAGGAAAGATTATATGGCAAACAAGGTGAAACCTAGACCAATACTGGAGGGGAATGGTGGTGGGGGTAGAAAAAAATTAAAGATTCATACCCACAGCTAAGAAATATTAAATAGTTGTGAAACACCATACTGCAAAAAGTCCTATAAAGCAATTAAGAAGCCCTATAAAGCTATTAAGAAGCAATCTTGAACAGAAAAATTGATTACTAATGCGTCAATAATTCATAGCCAATAAAATTTTCCCACTAACATCTAACTGCACCTTTATACTACGAACTAATGACTAATGCAGATCAATGGCAAGCTATAATAATTCTGTCAGGAGATCTTACGATAGCCTGTTGCCCATAAGGAGTAAATAGTCCACCAAAGTAAGCATCAGCATAAGGATTTCGAGCGTAAGCCTGAAACGAGAAGAGAAAATATTAATTTAAAACACCACCAACAAACTGAACTTAATAACGACTGCTAAACATACCATTGAATGGTTATAATTAGAATGAGAAGGGCTGAACACGGTGTTTGGATTGTTAAGCATGAAAACTGGCTTCATTTGACCCTCAATGTCCTTCCCACAACTTTCATCCTGACCTGATGCATGAGAAAACAATTACGATATCAGACACACATTGTCAACCTGTTAAGCTTGACAACAAGCTTCCCTCTTCAGTAACCCAATCAAAAACTATAGTAAAGCACATTAAATTTCTAGAGCACCACAAACAAGATTTGTAACAACATCACACAAGCAGTCACCTGCCATCTCAACAACAAGATTTTTATTTGCTATACTAGCAAGAACCAACTATAAGAATTAGGACATTGCTAAAGGACGGAAGACGAGATTTTCAGTTTAGAACATATAAAATAGCACAGACAGACAATTTTAAATCAAACATAGGAATGGAAAAACAAATTCTACCAAAAGGTCATATTTTCTCTAGCTAACCACTAACAATTCAGTTAAAGTCAAATTGAAGCACATGTAAAGCTAGTAGAGATATTTGTTGTGTATTTAGAGTCGTTAAAAGTTCCCAAAGCATTTGATGATTAACTTCATCACCAATAATTTCTTCCTTCTTCCCACTTCAACCCCTCTTCCCCCTAAAAAATGAAAAAAGTTCAAATGAAAAAACATCGCAGTAAAACAAAATTGCAGCCAGTAACCGGATCTACCTAGCAAGAAAAGTGGTGAAAAAAAGAAGGAAAATAATACAGAAGTGAAAATTCCCAAATAAATCACACATCCAGAAACATCGATACCAGATTCAGATGAATTGCATCGAGAGTTAGTCACTCCTATGACACCCACTTCATGACGAGATTGACCAATTGCTTGAGCTGATGATGATTCCTGGTCTGGTAGTTGAAGACCTAAATGCTTTGCATTATGATACAGTTGGGAGGGAGTTTCCACTTTCAAGCTTATATTCTGGGGTAAAGTCTGTGCAATTTGCTGTTCATTTGAATTCCACCATGGTGGGCAACTAACAGATAAATGGGATAGCGAATGAACAGAACTTTCATCAATATTTTTCTTTGGCAAGTTTTGAACCCGAATAGCCATCTAATTCATCAATTGTGCCTTGAATTTTGATGCAAAACCCAGAAGATCCTTATCAACAAACAGATTCTTTTCTCTCACTCCAAGATTAACTACTAAAAGTGGAAAAAAGATATAATGAGCTGTGGATGTCTAAGTTATACTCAAAATATGAATGTAAGCAACGCCATTTGCAATCAACTCAAGCTCAGCACATCCAAATTAATGTCAAACACAAGAGAACTAGTAAGGCTAAAATTTGCTATTCTAAGGAAAATGGAAGCAGCATCAACTCAGCCATAAATGAACAACAGGAACAAAGCTACAGAAAGATGACATGCCCTATAATTGCATGTAAATTGCATAATGAGACTTCAATAAAACAAATTCTAACTGTACCACATGAACCAAAATCACAAGCTAGATTCTCAATTTAATATTGGACGACTTATTAAAATTTGACTAAAACACACAGACAAGAACAACAACAATGAAGAAGATGGTTGATGAGGTCTTCTTTTGCTGCAGTCATATTTTCCAAAACCACCAAAAATTTTGAGGCAAAGAACATGCTCTTACATGTCGATGCAGTTAGTGGTTCAAGTTTCATTTAGTGAGAAGAGTAACCAAGTGCACCAAGCCATCAGGGAAGGGTAAATTAAAGAGGAATTCACTTGGCAATCATGAAGAACTTGTAATTTCTAATTGAAAGGTAATAGTTTAGAAGCTTATTTCAATCATCAAGAACTCATTCAGGAGTCAATATTAAATACATAAAACTCACAAGAGTTTACAAGAAAGCATTTATGAATGTAACAAAAAAGGTAATAATCAAAAGAAAAGCGCGTATTTACAAATTCTGAAATAGGAGAGAGGAAAACAAACAGAAAAGCCGAAGAAACAAAAGAAGAACATAAAGGCTGTTGGCAAGCACATTTAACAATAATAGCGCAAGGAATAGTTCCTTATCCAAATTCCATAAAGAATGATGTTCAGAACCCAGATTCAGTAACATATTCTAGATCTATTGAGCAATTCAGACATATCAAGACATCGTCATCATTACATGTCAATTTTCAAAAAGCAAATGAAGCAGTTCGAGCAGTTATTAGGCATGCTCAGAAAGTCAACCCTGTAAAATTAATAGCAGTTTTTGCTCTGCATGCAACAAGAAGTTGTGAAAAACCAGATGATATGCAAACAGTTTTGGTGCTGGGCCTCAAAAGATTGACAGTCCACAACCAGAACAGGAAAGGTTATAATGGTTTTCCAAGAATAAAGTAGCAAAGTGACTACAAATTCATATGAGTTTTTTTTTTTTGGAAAAAAAACCCTAGTTCTGGAGGAAAGTAAAGCTACATTTCATAGATATACAAACTAAGGGGGCTTTCTCCTGACATGCAGCAATAATCAACACAAGAACCATAACAGATTTGAGAGCTTAAGAGGGAAAACAAACCAATCAACAAGATAAAGAGGAAACTCAGACCAGAAAGCTATCAAAAAGATAGTGTTTCAATATCAGTAACCCTTCTGAACCAAAAAAAAAACAAAATCTCTGTAACTTACAGAATCCAAGTACCTACAACAGCATGGCCAATCTTAGCTGAATAAACTCCAAATTCATCCAGAAACTTATGGTGATTAAGAAACAGAAGAAGCAGCAGCAGCAGCAGAAGAATAAAAAGAGACCAAAAATTTTTCCTTCTAAGAGCAAGAGAGAAAAGGGCCGGGATATAAAATCTATTCTGTACGGTCAAAAATTTCAGTACGGACAAGATAAAGCTTAAAAGCCTTACATAAAGTATCTCAAGTAGAAACACAATGCACCCCAAACAGAAAAGGAAGAAAAAAAAAGACAAAAACGCAAAACAACAGTATCAACCACTAGACCAAGAACAACAACTTTCCCAACTTCTACAATAAGAAGAACAACAACTTCATCATCATCATCACCAACATGCATTCAAGAAAAAAGAAAAACAGCAAATAAAACAAAACCCCACTGATAAGGCAGATTATAAAAGTACAAGCAGATTAAAAAAAGAAAGAAAGTAAAAAGGAAAGAATCGAGAAAAGGAAGGAGAGGAAATGAGGCAAAGAAAAAAAAAAGTACTAGTTAGGTTATGCAAAGATAGGATAAGCTTGAATCAAATAAACAAAAGACAGTGAAAGAAAGAAAGGGAAGATGGGTAGAAAAGAAAGACCTATGGGATCTGATGAGGCATGAAGAAGAAGCAAAGTATTGTTCTGTTGGAAAGAACTTAGGCATGTCCCCTCCCTTGAAACTCTCCCACTACTCTTCTCTCTCTTTAAATTTATTTTTATCTCTTTTTTTTTCCTTCGAGATTTTCTAGAAATGTCACAAAAGAAAAGAAGGAGAAACATGCTATTATTCCACCCACCACCATTAAAAATCCATGACCAACAGCTTCCTTCTCCAACTATGGTTAGAGTTTCTTTTTTCTTTTTTTTTTTCATTTTTGAGTTTATGTCTATGTCTTTGTGGGGACCACACTCGCCCCTTAAGTCCTTTTTTGGCTTTACTTTAGTACAGCCAGCCGCCCTTCACTGTCTATATTTATGCCCACGTGCTAAGGCCCATATCTTGCTTCTGATTGGCTGGTGTTGTTTACGCCCTCGGTGTGAGCGTGAAAGTTGATGACATAAGTGGAAAAATGTCGCTTAATGTTTTTTCTTTTTGCCCCAATTGCCCCGGTTAAGTGGTTTTATTTTCCAATATGTCTTTCCCGATGACATATCACGGCGAATATGACACTGGTTTAACAGTTGGGCTCAATATGTTTGTTAATTTCCAAAATGCCCCTACTGTTTTTGCTGGATCCATGTTTGCCGTGTTAGAGTTCGCGTACATAATCATGAAAACGTGAGTTTAAATTGTTTAAAAAATGGTTAATTGCTCAATTTTATGATTTAATTTGTCAATTTTTTATTTTAGGATTCCATTTATCATTTCATTAAATTTTATTGATTTAAAAAAATTAATGATAAAATATTAATATATTATCTTATGTAATAATCGTTAGTTCTATTAATTTTATTTATTCATTTTTATTATTGGTTTTTTAAAAATAAATTAAAATTCAAACTATTTTATTTTAATGCAACCAAATTAATAAGTTAAATTTTAAAATTAAAATTTTGACATATATTAGATCCTAAAATGAAGATTAAACCTTATAGATCAACAAATCTTTTCTCTTATAATAATAATAATAATAATAATAGTAGAGGCAGGTGAAAGATATTTAACATGATGTGTAATGCTTAACTAGCGACGACCAAAACGAGTGTCTCTTTTTGTTGTCATCCGCTAGAAATTTCGTTTGGTCTGGTTGTTTTCATTTCTTAGTACAAGCCTTGATTAGTAATTTAGTGAGCAAGTTGGTTTGGAGATGATGTTTAAGAATTTAATATGAATTTGAATAAAGCAGTAAAAGCCACTAGTTTCTTTGAAAACGACTAAAAAGGGAACTGGTTGTAGTTTCAATCAAATTGATCCAAAAAATGATTACTTCCCACCATTTTATCTTTTTTTTTTTTTATTGTCATGTGTTCAACGCACCCACCATGCTCCCAAATATCCAAACTTGAGCTTTTACATTTTGTTTTTGATTATTAATCTTTAATTGGACGAAAATACAAAATGCCTACAACTATACAATAAGACTTGGTTATTTGTGTATGAAGGAAATACTAATAAAATATATTAAATCAAACTTAATGTCTTTTCTTCACAGGCCCAACCACTAATTTTCTCAAAAGAAAGGGTGGTTTAGTAAAACTGAGATGAAATCAAAGGGAAAAAGTTGGGTTGTCATTTTCCCTTATGATGTCTGGGGATAATTTAATATATATTTTTTTAATTAAAAGATTAGAAAGAAGCAAAGGGGAGGAAGCTGGTTGGAAAAAGATGTGTTGCGTTTTAACTCTCCCATCCCACGCTAAGCTAACGATTCCACGAGGAGACATCACTAGAGACAAACCAACAAATAAATAAATAAACCATTAAATAAATGTTAAACAATTTTCATGCTAAATGTAATAATATTTAATCTACTCAGACAAAAAAAAAATTTACATACGTGTGTATAAAACTTTGTTCCGAGGAAATCATCGGCATTCTTCCCAAGTTGGATTTTCTTATTTATTTATACATGTAATTTCGACTGTACGGAAAATTGTATTCATTAAGATCTTTAAAAAAAAAAAGAAAGAATATTGTCATGATGATTGGCATAAAAGTAGTATATGATAAGGTATGAACTCCCGTGTTATTATAAGACAGTTCATGTCTTGCAAAGTGGTAAAAGAATGTAAGATAAATTAGCATGTATATATATGGTTAAATTATAACCTTATGGTATTCTTTGCGTAGTAAATAACATAAAAGGATTATGTCACTTGGTGCTACGCAATGGTGATGAAATCATGCTAAGCTTGACAAATACTCATAAAAATATTTCAATTTTATAGAATCCTATGCCCTTTCTCCTCTGGCCGTTCATTCATTTTCTTGCATGGGGTCAGAACACTTCGAAGGCAACAGCTAATTGGTTAGCTACACGTGTCAATTGCAACGACTGTCCGCTTCTTTCTCCTCTCCAACCACCAGTTGTTCAATATCTTAAACAAACCCCACTCCCAATCTTTCTCAGAGGAGGTTTAATATTCCCAGGGGAACAGAATTAACAGCTAAAATCCCATTAGTATTAGAGAAAAATAAACTCAAACTTTGGGTACTTTTGCGTGGAAAGCACCTTGCCGGAGGCAGGCAGGCACAAAAAGCATATAGAGAAAGAGATTCATTACAAAAGGGAGAAGAGAAGCTATAAATTGATGAAACTATAACTAATAAAATTAATAGAATATCCGAAGATTACGGGAACTATTGACTTCTAAGTGTGCTCCTTGAATTGAAGGAGCCTGGCAAAACGTGGGATGCAAATTGCATACACCTCAAGTTGGTGCTTTTGCCAAAAAAAAAAAAGAAAGACTTTTTAAGCACAACAGAGGGGCAATACACATTTGCCAGGAATATAGAATGGCCACCAAGATGACTGCTACCACCAACAATGGATAGTTCATCACGTAAATCTCAAGTTAAAAGGGAGAGTGGAACAAGGTCCCTGTTGTCTCTGAAAGAATGATTGAAATAACAGAAGTTTTAGTAGTAACTATCAAAAAGCTAACAGGACATTAAGACAGATCATAAAATGCAAATAATATCACAAAACAGACAAGCAGCAACAGAAGAAATAGCGCAAGATAAGAGATAATATTCCTTCTGGTTAATCAAGTACCATTCCAGATGATTAAGCAGAAGATACATGTTGAAAAGAACTGATAAGTCGATAAAGAATGCTGAAATATTACATAGAATTCTGTTTTAAATCTCTTAAAAGGGCTTCAAGTTTTTTTTTTTTTATTTCATATATTCAAATAAGTAACAAAATTCATCTCACAGGCCGTTATGTTTCAATGGGAGTGTATCAAATTTGGCAAGCCCAGCCTTCCTAATTACCAATAAAGTCTTTTCAATTTTTTTCCTTATTTAATTAAATTCCCCTCCTCAACCTGCTTGATTGTGAAGAAATAGCCTCATAACTCCCCAGTATCAAGTTAGTCATGATATTTTAATCTGTCTATGCATTCAACTTAGAACTTTGAGTGCTCACCTCTCAAGACCTGGATCTAGAGCTGTAAGTTGATCCTTTCAGACCATTTAAAAATATCAGAATACACACGATCTCCACCCAGATCCTGGCCAGTAGCCCCTGCTGCTACTCGTATAATATCTTCAATTAATGCAAAATTCCCCATTATATCAACATGAGCACCACTTTGGGTGCCTCGACCTTCTAGAAGATTAGCTGGGGGGGCATGATTGTACTCCCTTACGTAAGTACGAATTCCTGAAGGATTGAATCTGGTTTTACCCCGCCAACCTTTTGCACACATGAAACCTGCACTTAAAACAGGAACTGTTTCATCTCCATCAGCAGAGAAAACGCCACCTTTTAGACATGAATCTTCACTTCCACCCTCTGCTGAGGTGTCTATCTGAAATGGTATATAGCAATCAGCGGCAGTAGTTAATTTGTATACATAAGCTCTTTCAGTGGGGATTCCAACTCCATACATTGAGTAGATTTCCATGTCTGGAGCACTTGGTAGCCTGCAAAATAATGCAGCACTTGTCAAGAAAAGATAGATAGATGGGGAGAAGAGGAAGGGGCACATAGCATTAGAAAAGTTCCAACAGCTTTTAACAAAAAAAATCAAAAAGGATTACAATTTAAAGCTACTCTCTGCTCTGAAACAACAAACCAAACAAACAGGATACAAATCTTAACCACAAAGTTTGCAACATAAAAAGCTAATTATGAGATTGGTTAATGATACAAACTCAACTAATTAAAAGCTACTATATCATAGTTAATTACATTAATGCATTCAAATCATTCAACTTAAAGCTTCTCTAAAAGAACACTATACATTTAATCCAGAGTATTACAAAAACCAATAATTGCACCCAAAAAAAATCAAAACCAATTAGAATAACTGAGAAAAGTTGAAAACTCTCACTTTGTTTCTAAGGGGTTTGACCAATATTTGTAGTGTTCATACTTTGGGTCATCCAAATTATCAGCTATCCCATATGAAAAATGAGCATCTCCTCTTGCCATCAACTTGGGAGCAACAAAATGAAGCAGATCCAAAATTGATCCAGCTGTGTAAATTTTGTAGTCAGCAACCGCTTTGATAGCACCATTGCCCATTTCATGATACTCTGTCCATATATCACAGTTGCTTGAGTTGGCAAGCTTACCACCCTTCACGACATCCTGCTGATCAACAATAATCATATAAACTCCAAGCTATAGACTAAGAAACTGATTATCTCCTAGAATGCAGAATCAAAGAGCACAATGTTTAATAAACATCCTCTAATAATTGCACTTCAATGAATAAATCTCCCAATTGGGCATGCTTGCATTTGACACACATGTAGAGGAAAGAAATTTCAGTTCCTTTTGGTTAAAAGTCAGCAAATTTTAGTCACATAATCTTGAAGTCCTGATTAGTTGCAATGTGAAAATGATGATTGTTAGAGAGCGAGAGAGAGAGAGAGAGAGATCATCCTTCTACTTTCACTTATGTAAAGTAACTTAATCATAACTTGGACATTACCCTGAAATCAACCCTCTCAATCTTGGAGGAATGTGCCTCAGCCACATCTTTCCCAAATGAAATAATTCTCCCATAATTCACACTTTTCATATCACCCAAGTTGCTGTCTGCATTGTGGCCTGTATTATGAGTGCTGTTGTTCTTCAACTTTTTTGCACTACAGCTAAAGCTTCCTCCTTCAGGTGACCAATCAAGCCCACCCCATATAGTGTCCCCACCTTTTGGTATCATTGACATGGTGGAATCCCATGTACGGGTCATTCGCATTAAATGCTGAAAAGTTTGAAGACCAAATACATCTTTGTCCAGAAAACCAGGAGCGAAAGCCCTGTTTAACAATTAGAGTTTCATCAAGCTCCCAAAACAAAGCAGAAATGCACATGCATCATATCTGAACTACTCTAGGTTTGCCAAGAGTAAGATCAAACATGTTGATATGGTTTAAGGTGCAAAAGCATGCTTGACAGCAAGACAGCACCATTTTGGGGAGTCACATAATTAAGAAGAAACAAAAAATCATATCAACATACAACCAAAAGTGACTACAGTAAAGGCTTGCATGAAATGGTGGTTATCAAGAAAAAGATAAAACAAGGGCAAAAAGGGTTGAGGAACAGAGATGCAAAATGGATTAAGGGTGCAAATTTTAGCAATTCCTACAGATTGATCAAACCTTTTATTTTGTTCACTAAATTACCAATTTAAGAAATGAAACAACATTATTTCAGTAAAACTGAAGCCATAAAATCAAAGCATTAGAAAAGTTAGCTCTCTATCTCTCTCTCTATCACACACACACACACTCTCACAGACATGTGTGAATGCACATGAGCAATAATGACATCAGAAAGGGAAAATGTTATCAATGCAACAAGAATTCTGGGAAAGCATAGTGTTCATCAATAGCATCAGAAATTTATGTCATCGATTGACATAGATTGCAGTAGGAATATGACAACTAACAGCAAGATACAAAACAAGTCCTTGTTCACATAAAAATAATTCAAAGAAGTACCTGGCAATGGCTATATCCCTGGCTTCAATAGAAAAAAGTCCAGAGACTGATTTTGGGACACCTAAAAAGGGCGCACCAATGTTCATTACTGCCTTTATGTGCTTAGCACACCAATCTGATCCACCTCCACCACCCATTGGCAGTGGTGCTTCAACCCATTTCATAAAGTGCAGAAAGTACAGGACACCCATTGAATGCGGAATGACTACTACCTTTTTCCCACCATTGGTAGCTACCATGAGTTCTATGTTACTTTTTATTCTGCTCAAAGTTTGGTCCCTAACCTGATTTATTCAAATAGACTAGAAGTGATGAGAAAATTTTAGGGAGTTATAAACAGAATGCTATTTCAAATCATAAGCACAGCAGAATTACTAAAGATAAACATCTAAAGTATATACATTCGCGCAAAATTATTTGGCAAATTAACTCTAGGTGGAATGAGAAATTTGAAATCAAGCACATACCTCAGTGTTCTGGAAAGATAACCTCCAATCATAGGCAGCCATATACATCGTTTTTTCCTCATACCCAATCTGAGCCAAATTAGCAATTAAAACAGCCCAAACAAAATAACCTGCTGCAAAATAATCAGCTGCTACAAGTCCAGATACAGGCCTGATCCTTATACCGGGAGGGTCCAGTCCAGTTTCATTATCGAGTGACATGTGCTCAGCCCAGCATAATGGTCTGCATTGAAATTGGGAGAACAGTGAGAGGATAGAAGTTTAGTAAACTTCATGGACAGCTTCACTTTCACAAATAGAGATAAAAAAACACATCAAACAAGGGCGAACAGCAATACCTAGTCTAAGTTAAAACAATTTCTTTTCTTCTAAGGACATTTTCATTTCACTACAACCAAAACTATCTAAAAGTTAACACTCAACATAGCAACCATATGCAACAAATTAAGGGAAAGTTTTCAGAAAATTTCAGGAA